CACAATGTATTTACTCATTCCATTATTTATGGACATTTGAGTTTTCAGGTTTTCGCTATTGTGAATAATGCTGCTATGAACACTCTTGCTGTGTCTTTTGGGGCACATGTATGCATTTCTTTGCAGTACATATTTAGGAATGCAATCGCTATATTGGTATAGATTTTTCAGCTTTAGTAGACATCACCAAACAATTTTCCAAAGTGGTTGTTATCAGTTCATCTTGCTGCCACCAATGGATGAAAGTTCCAGTTGTTTCGCATCTTCAACAACACTTAGTGTCATCTTTTTTCATTTTGGTCATTCTGATGGGTTCACAGTGATTTTCATTGTGACTTTGATTTGTACTAATTTCCCTGATAACCAATGCAGTCGAGCATCTTTTCATATACTTATTGTCTTTTTGGTTATCTTCTTCTGTGCGATGCCTATTGACGTTCATGCCAACTCTCCCATTAGGTTAATAACTCTTTTTCCAATTGATTCATAGTTTTTATATTCTGGATGCAAGTCTTTTCTTGTTTATATATATGTAAATATCTTTCCCCACTCTTTGGCCTGTCTCACTCTTTTCATGTTATCTTTTGACAAAAGGAATTCTTAATTTTAATGTAGTTCAGTTTAGGATCTTTTCCTTTATGATTAGTATTTTCCTGTGTTCTATTTTAGAAATCTTTGTCCAAAATCCATGAAGATATCTTCTATTCTCCTACATTGCCTTCTAAAAGATTTATTGTTTTACCTTTCACATTTCGATGGAAATCAAAACATTTTTTAAAATTGTGATTGGTGACACTACCAGAGGCACTCACAACTAGAATATACAACTATGTAATATGGGGCTTTGGGGAGAAGAAGAAGAAGAAGAAAAAAAAACAAGAAGAAGATTGGCATCAGATGTTAGCTCAGGTGCCAGTCTCTAAAAGAAAAATTGTGATTGGTGAGAGGTAGACGTCAAGGTTCATATCTTTCCATATCAATAAACAAACGAGCTGTGATCATTTATTAAAAAGACCATCCTTTTCCTGCTGTTCTCTGGTGCCACTTTTGTTACAAATTAAGTATCCAAATATGACTGATTATAGTATTATGGTAATTCTGGTCTTGAGTTGTGTAGAATGAGTATTAGTTATTTCTGAAATGTCCGGTGGAATTCACCAGTAAAGCCATCTGGACCAGAAGTTTGACTTTTCCCCCTTAGGAAGCTTGTTAATGACACATTTGATGTCTGATAGATATAGGGCTGTTCAGGTGATCTCTTTCTTCTCAAGTGAGCTCTGGTAGTTTGTGTCTTTCAAGGAATTTGTCCATTTCATATAACTTGTATTTATTGGCAACTCTTAGTTTTGTTAATCTTTTCTATTGTCTTCCTATTGTCCATTTCATTTACTTTTATTCTAGTCTTTATTATTTCTTTCCATCTGCTTACTTTGGGCTTATTTTGTTGCTCTTTTTCTAGTTCCCTGAGGTGTAACGTTAGGTTGTTTATTTGAGATTTTCCTTTTTTCCTGATGTATGCATTTATTGCTACAAACTTGCATCTTAGAACTACTTTTGCTACATCCTATAAGTTTTGGAATGTTGTGTTTCCATTTTCATTTGTCTCAAGACATTTTTTGATTTCCCTTTTGACTTCTTCTTTCACCCATTGGTTGCTCAGGACAGTGTCTAATTTCCATGTTTTTGTGAACTTTCTGGCTTTCCTCCTGTTATTGTTTCTAGTTTCATACCACTGTGGTTGGAAAAGAGATTTGATATAAATTCTATCTTGTTGAATTTGTTGAGACTTGTTTTGTGGCCTAACATATGGTCTATCCTAGAAAATATTCCATGTGTGCTTGAGAAGAATGCGTATTTAGCTGCCGTTAGATGCAACGTTCTGCATGTGTCTGTTAGGTCCATTTGGTCTATAGTGTGTTCAAATCCACTGTTTCCTTGTTGATTCTCTGTCTGGATGATCTATCCATTGTTGAGAGTGGGATATTAAAGTCTCCAACTATTATTATATTGCTGTTTATTTCTCCTTTTAGTTCTGTTAGTGTTTGCCTTATATATTTAGGTGCTCTGATGTTAGGTGCATAAATATTTACAATTGTTATATGTTGTTGATGAATTGATGTCTTTATCATTATAAAATAAGCTTCTTTGTCTCTTCCTCCATTTTTATCTTAAATTCTACTTTGTCTGATATAAGTATACAGGCATACCTCATTTTATTATGCTTCACTTTATTGTGCTTCACAGATATTGCATTTTCTACAAGAACCTCTACCAGCAAAAAGATTACATCTCACCGAAGACTCAGATGATGGTTAGCATTTTTTAGCAATAAAGCATTTTTTAAATTAAAATATGTACATTGGTTTTTTTAGACATAATGCTATTGCACACTTAATAGTAATGCTATTGCATGCTTAATAGACTACAGAATAGTGTAAACATAACTTTTATATGCACTGGGAAACCAAAAAATTTGTGTGACTCGTTTTATTGAGATATTCACTTTATTTTGGTAGTTTGGAACAAAACCCACAATATCTCCAAGGTATGCTTGTACTTACCCTGCTTTCTTTTGGCTACCATTTGCTTAAAATATCTTTTTTCATCCCTTCACTCTCAGTCTATGCGTGTCCTTAAAGCTAAAGTGAGTCTCTTGTAGGCAACATATCTTTGGGTCTTGTTTTTTGAATCCATTCAGCCATTCTATGTCTTTTTGAAGAATTTAATCCATTTACATTTAATATAGTGATTGATAGGTAATGAATTACTATTGCCATTTTGTTAACTATTTTCTGACTGTTTTGTAGATCCTTTGTTCCTTGCTTCCTCTCTTGTTGTCTTCCTTTGTGATTTGATGACTTTTTGCGGCAGCATGCTTTGACTTCTTATAATCTTTTGTGTATTCACTACAGGTATTTCCTTTGCAGTTACAATGAGGTTTACATAAAATATCTTCCATTTATTACATCCTATTTTAAGCTAATAACAACTAGCCCCTAGTAATCACTATTCTTCTTTTCTTCTCTATGAATTTGACTACTCTAGGTACCTCATATAAGTAGAGTCACACAATGTTTGTCCTTTTGTGTTTGGTTTGTTTCACCTAGCATACTGTCTTTAAGGTTCATCCATGTTGTTGCATGTATCAGACTTTCATTCCTTTTAAAGGCTGAATAATACTTGATTGTATGTATATATTGTATCTTGTTTATCCATTCATCTGTCCATAGACATTTGTGTTGTTTCCACCTTTTGGCTACTGTGACTAACGTTACTCTACACATTGGTGTAAAAATATCTGTGCAAGTCCCTGCTTTCAATTCTTTTATGTATATACCTACAAGTAGAATTGCTGGACCATATATTAATTCTATGTTTAATTTTTTGAGGAATCTATATGTTTTCCACAGAAGATGAACCATTTTATATTCCCACAAGTAATGCACAAGGATTCCAATTTCTCCATATCCTAGCCAACACTTGTTGGCTTTTGGTTGCCTGGTTGGTTAGTTGGTTGATTTATTTCTTTTATTTATTTATTCATTTATTTATTTACAGCCATCATATTGGGTGTGAAGTCATATCTCTCTTTGGTTTTTATTTGCATTTCCCTAACAATTTGTGATGTTGAGCATCTTTTCACATGCTAATTGGCCATTTATATTTCTTCTTTGAAGAAATGCCTATTCAAGTCCTTTGCCTGTTTTTGAATTGAGTTGTTTGGTTATTTGTTGTTGAGGAGAAACTTATTTTAAATAAGATAAACCAATACAACACTGGCAGGATATAATATTTTCTGATACAATATTGCCAAAAAAGTTTTTGAAATAATTAGCAGTGCATATGTTTCACAAAGGACTTTTATCCAGAATGTATAAAGAACTCCTACAACTCCAACAGAAGACAAAGAATCCAGTTTGAAAAGGGTAAAAGATTTAAATAGACACTTCACAAAAGAATATATACAAATGACCAATAAACACATGAAAAGCTGCTCAGCATCACTAGTCATCAGGGAAATGCAAACTAAAATCTTGATGAGATACCATTACACACCCAGTAGAATGGCTAATATTAAAAAAAAAAATAGTAATACTAAATGTTAGTGAGGATGTGGAGCAACTAGAACTCACATAGACTTTTAGTAGGAGTAAAAGATGGTGCAATCAATTTGGAAAATCATTTTGGCAGTTTCTCAAAAAGTAGAACATACATTTATCACATACCCCTATCATGCACCCTACCATCAATGTCATCTGTAGGCATTTACCCAAGAAAAATGAAAAATATGTCTGCACAAGACCTGTACATAAATGTTCATAGCAGCTTTGTCCATAATAGCCAAGAGGTGGAAACAACCTAAATGTACATGGATAAACAAATTGTGATATAGTCACAAAATGGAACACCACTCAGCAATAAAAAGGAACAAACTACTGATACATGCAACATGGATGAATCTCAAAAATATGATGCTGTGTGAAAGAAATTAGACACAAAAGAGTACATACTGTATAAGTGAATTCGTATCAAATTCTAGAACAGACAAAGCTAATCCAGGAAGTCAGGGATTGCCAAGGGCCTTTAAGGGAGGGAAGGGACTGTGAAGGAGATAAAGGAACTTTTGGAGTGATGTGAATATTCTATATCTTTTTTTTTTTTAAAGATTGGCACCTGAGCTAACAACTGTTGGCAATTTTTTCTTTTTTTTTTTTTTGCTTTAGCTCCCCCAAATCCCCCCAGTACACAGCTGTATATCTTAGCTGCAGGTCCTTCTAGTTGTGGTATGTGGGACACCACCTCAACGTGGCCTGATGAGTGGTGCCATGTCCGCGCCCAAGATCCGAACCGGTGAAACCCTGGGCCGACGCAGCGGAGTACATGAACTTAACCTCTCAGCCACGGGGCCAGCCCCTGAATATTCTATATCTTGATTGTAGTGACTGCGGTTCCACAGATGTATATATTTGTCATAATTCATCTAAATGGACGCTTAAAATAGATGCATTTTATTGTATGTAAATAACACCTCAATAAAGTTGATTTTCTAAAAAGTAATTTCTCTTGATAACTAAAAAACTATGATGATAATCTAAATTTCCAAACCACAGGATATACTTAGTATATCCTGAAGTATAACATATTGACATCTTACACTGAGGGAGGCATTTAAGTATCTAGCTTCCTTTATTCATAAACTGGTATAATTTCCCATAATACCATTGGTAAAATAATTGCAATTAATCTTTTTCTTTCAGATTTTCTGAATATGCCACTGCATTTCAAATAAATGGAGCAAAGACTAGATAATGAATGTTTAAAATGTTTGGGTTACCAGAGAGCAAAATTTATCTTATAACATTATTTATATTATTCCCTAAGTAAATGGAATAAAGCATTTCAAAATTACTTCCTTTCTATTCAAATGTACTCTGTTATGTTGAATGGCCCTTTAAACATAAACCCAAGCACATGGAAGTTTCAAGGATGTCAGCTGGCTCTTCACTTCTGCGTCTGCTGTTGAGTTGTTATACAGAATTGCCTACGACATTTTTCGTGTCAGAGCTCATGAAATTGTACAAATTCTATTTGCAATTTTGGGTGGGTAAAATACATGAGCCCAATGAGGAAAGTTTCTCTTTAAATTATAAGGAATTCATTGAAAAATAATTATTAAGAATAAGATGTAACATTTCAGTACTATAGAAGAAAAAGGACAACTCAACAACAAAAATGTACTCATGTTCTAAAGATTAGCCTCAAAGGATACGATACTGTTACCATCTTGTGAAAATAAATCTTATCATAGCCTTGGACCTAGCCTGAGTAGAATGCTTTATCTGATGGTATCAGCAAATAGGGTTTGAGATTTTAAGACCAAGAAAATGTTCTCATTTCCTTGTATTTTCATGACAAAATAGCATTCTTGCTAAAAGGATTAGATTACTAAAAGGGAGGGAGAAGCAGGGAGAGGGAAGAAAAATCTCACGCAGCGTGTCAGGTGTCAGGAGTATGTCCTAGTGACCTGAATCTGCGCATTTATCTGCAGAGATGTGGTTTCCACAGTCTGTCTGCAGATAACTGTGAAGTAATTACACAAATTGCCCCAAGTCATTTTGCTCAGATAAATTCAACCTTTAAAGCTAGGAAGTGCTGCCAATTAGATCAGAAATCTGTGATTTTTAAGATTTTTGAGAAAATAATTTTTCTCTTCTTCAAGTTGTACCTTGGGATCCATTGACAAATCAAACTCTTCTATCCATCCAGAAGAACATTCTCTCTCAGTCTTTTGATTATCTGGTGTGAATCACACATAACCAGGAAACTCAGGGCTTGTCCTCCTTCAGAGTCTTCCACGGCGATAGCATGGTTTACTGGCAAGGTAGTTACCATATTCCACATCTTCAAAGACCAGATCCCCTTTATTTCTCTTCCACAAAGCGCGCCTTAGAATTTTTCGTTGCAGCAGTATGAAGTAATGGCCAGCTGTTACTCCAGGAGAGATCAAACTGAAACCACCACAGAAGTCCAAGTAACCAGAACCTCACAGGGTTATCATCACAGATAATGATCATCACACATAGATACTGTGATGGCTCTTCAGTGACTGACGGGGTAGGCTCTCTGTTTAAAAAAAAAAACAAAGGTAGCAAAATTGAACAAGCCCCCAGGGTATAAAACAAACTGCAAAAATAAATACAAGGAGAGTAACTAACAAATTTAAAAATATATAATCAATAAGGATGGGTGAATATGGCAGCATTTTGAGATAAAACTGCATTTTCAACTATTTTTAAAATGTTTCCCATTTGGCAGAACCCCAAATGGGCTTTGCCAAGCACTTTTTCTTCTTAATTTTTAAGTGCATATGTATTTCAGGGAAAATTTAATCCATATGTTCCTCTCTCATTTACACAATTTATCAAAATGTTGCTTTGCATGAGCCATTTAATGTCTAAGAAAACTGAAGAGCCTTCTTTCCCCCCCAATACAAGTTTTTGGCTTTTTTTCTTCCTGAATTAAATACGTGTTCAGTACTACGTAGAAAGCTAATTGAAAAATATTCAATTCTGTTTCAATATTCAGAATCAAACAAAGTCTGATAAAATTCAAAATAACAGAAGAGCATCCATTCCCCTATAGTACTATATTTACAAGTTTCTAAAGCCTACTTTCATTCACATGGTTTCTATAAATCAAAGAATATTAGAATTAAAAGATACCTTAGAAATGAGGAGTTTTCTCTCACTTTGAAAACTAGGAAACTGAGTCCCAAAGAAGTTGAAGAATCTGCCAAAATCACAAAACTAATTAGTGGCAGAGCCAAGACACGTGTCTTCCCATTAGAGTGACTTCTTTGGTTTTTCTGATTTTAATTAGGATTTTATCTATAACAGACAGAAGTGTCAGTAATACTAGATGATAAAAAAAACAAAACAAAACAGTGGAGCTCATCTCTGCATGAAATGTGCCTGTCTGCTTCCAACAGACCAACACCTGGACCACTCGCAGGCTGAGAATCACAAGTTCAGAATCTGCTGTTGCCATTGAAAATTTCAACAGCTCATTTCAGTGTGTGACCCTGATCCTGTCTATCCTTCATTATCGCCACAAGGGTAAGTGATAGACCTGTTTAAAAGAAAAATTAAGTCCAAGTTACTCTCAACCCTTACCAGTAAGTTGCTACAGGAAAACGAACTGATTATTTTTTAACTGATAAAGATGTTTCTTCCTTTCTTCCTTCTCCTCTCCTTCCCTCCTTTTCCCCTAAAGGGGATCATTCTGGGCTACACCAAATCTGGCGATGGGCATACCATGAAGTCTGGAGGGTTTCAGTGAAGACATCAGCCCAGGTGATGGGGTCAAGGTCCACTCTTGGTTTGGCCCCTGTTGCCTGTGTCTTTAGGTACCCCCGTGTCTGCAGGCAAGGAAAAAGGTACAGATGAGTAAAACTGCTGTCCCCAGGGAAATGAAAGAAGAGAACAGAAGACTACCGGGGCTTCCATTTGGCATGTCAAGAGGCAGTCATAAACTGCAGACCACAAATCACAATCAAAAGAACTTTGTGAAATTCTGTAATCTTGTATCTTACCAGTATTTATATTGTGTTACTCTCTGTTTGTTTTGTAGCAGTAATTCAAAGCAAAACCCTATTTTTTTTTTTAATGTGATGGGAGGAAACGCATAATATGTGTGTCTTTTGGGAGTAACAAAGAGGGAGAGAATCGGGAGACCATTTTTGGAGGGAGAAACCAAAATCATATAGCGCAGAACAGCTCAACCACTTACTGACTGTTTAACCTTGGGAATGTTTCTTAACCTCTCTTTGTCTCAGTTTCCTCATCTATAAAATGGAAACAATAACAGGACCTGCTTCATAAAGGTTAGTAAAATAACACATGTAAGATACACAGGAGAGTGTTTGCATATAATAAGACTTCAATGAAAATAATTGTGGTTGCACTATCATCTTTCTTTTTTACGCTGAAATAGGAAAACAGGCTGAATTCCTAGGACTTGTGACAAACAGAAAAAGAAAACAGAGGAAGATTATTTAGGACTGATACGGAGCTATGAGTCTAAGCAATCAAAAAACTATTATGGATTTACTGAACTGGGATTTGAAACCCAAGCATACTCTCAAAATGAAAAACAAGGTCTCCGTTGAGGCTACTATAACGGTGCCCATATCATTGGTACCTATGACATATGAAAGACTGTAACTCTACCTTCTTCTATCTTGACCTCCAGCTGTCAAAAACAAGAGTGTGTTCAAAGATTGGACAGCCGTTGGAACCCAATGCAAAACACTCACAAGTCTCCTCAGAACTCTTGGTCTGAGAAATGGTTACTTTGTCAATGACCTTAGGCAAGATTGCTTTGGGGTTTAAGTGAGGTGGATTTCTGAGTTGCTTTTTCTTGGTGAAGTTTTTCTCTTTTGATTGTAATTTGATTGGTTATACCAGACGGTAAATGGATTGGAAAGCACACTGGCTGCAGAAGTGAGAGAACTGTGATTGCAGTCTTTGTTTTCCTTAAGTGTCACTCTGAAGACAACATTCTATTTCTAGGGAGTTCTCGTCTACGTAAAGAAGAGGTTGGATTTGGTGATCATAAATGTCCCTACCTCTTTAAAATTTTATGGACCTATAAAGGTATAATTATAAAATAGTGGGACTGATTTTCCTGGCCATCATTACTCTATCATCAAAACTGATTTATATAGCACCCTTCTTTGAAAGTTCTGGGCATTCTACACAGAGCAATTGAGAAAACAGAGAGGAATGTGGTGAATACAATATGCTTTTGAGTTGGAGCTGGGTTCAAATTTGGACTCTTCCATTTTATCAATGGCTCAATATTCAGCAAATTATTTAATTTCTCTGCACCTAAATTTGCTCAGTCATGAAATATGGCTCATTTTACCTATTTCATAGGGTTGCTCAAGGATTAAATGAGACAGCATAAGTCACATGCCTGCCTCATAATAGGTGCTCAATAGAAGGGAGCTATATTACAGTGGCAGGAAAGGAAATAATGGATTCAAGTACCTGAAAGGTTTGCCTCTGAGGGAGTGTCAGATTGCATTCTGCACATAAATAATGCTCCCCGAACCCAAAAGATCATTGTCATTTTTTGTCATGTGCTAAAATATTATCAGTAGAGACCCTGGAGGAATCAATGTGACAGTGTTTGAATGAATTAATGAAGTTGCTCGCCTCAGCCAGGACTCTTTTCGCTTCTTTCCTCCAGGTGTACAATCTATTTAAAAATCTGGGGGCTGGCCCCATGGCCTAGTGGTTAAGTTCGGTGTGCTGCACTTCAGTGGCCCGGGTTTGGTTCCCAGATGCAGACCCACACCACTCGTCAGCAGCCATGCTGTGGTGGTGACCCACATACAAAATAGAGGAAGTTTGGCACAGATGTTAGTTCAGGGCGAATCTTCCTCAGCAAAAAAAGCAAAGTAAAGTAAAGTAAAATAAATAAATAAAAATCTGTACACTAGTGCTTAATAATTCTCTCTTACAACTTTTTCACAGAGCTTTTGCTGAATGCTTTCACAGCTCTTAGAGTCAAATTATGTCACACACTTGACCATTGTATTCATAGGACCAGATATTTGGGGCCTAAAGTATATAAACATACAATGATGAGTAAGTGAAGTATTTCATATTTAAATGATAAAGAAATATTATTTTTAAGTTTGCTCCTGATGGATAGATCTGAAATGGCTAAAAAAATTAATTTTCGTAAATGAGAGAATGAGAATATGCCCAAAGAGGCTAATTCTGGGCTGGGAATAGCAATAGTGAAAAAGAGTTCTCTAATCAAAAAGCCTTAGAAGTGGAAACTTTGCCCTCTATATAAAGAGGCATTAATGATGCAACCTGGGTAGTATCTTCAGGCTTGGCCTAGAGCCATCTTAAAAGGAAGGAAACCTTTGATCTTTGGAGGAGGGTGTCTGGTTGTAGAGATCCTACCTTTGGAGATAAGAGGCTGGCAGGCCCACTGCATTCTAGCTTTCACTTGACAGAGGAAGTCAAGAACCAAGAGACCAGAGCTGACTGGGTCGGCTCTGAGACATCCCCTGGGTTGTTATTTTTGTTGCCTGGGTCAGTTTCCTATGATGATTACCAATAAAATCTCTAAAATCATCTTTAAAAATAATGTTCATTCTGTAGTAGTGATAGGAAACCGTTCTGTAGTCGGTAGCCAGACTTCAGTGTGGGGAGAAAAATCATCAAGGATGGAGAGAAGCAACCATGAAAGAGAGAGAAGCAGGCTGAGTCCCGGAGGCCTTGGTGAGGAAGAAAGCAGGAGATCTGGCCGGAGAAGGGCTGCTGAGGATCTCAGACAGTGTAGGATCCAGCAAGGAAACTGCTGTCTCTTAGGTTCTAACAATTCAAGCTTTTTGTTTCTTCTCTCCAGGTTTACAATCTATTTAAAACTCTGTACTTTAGTACGTAATAATTCTTTCTTACAACTTTTTCACAGAGCTTTCCGAAAGAATTTATCTTCTGGGTTTGGGGAATGCTGAGAAGTCCAGCTCACTAGGAAATAAATTCAACCTGATGACTTAAGCAAACTTCCTGAATGGCCAATGTATGAATTTATCTCCAATTCAAGAATGAACAGAGCATTGTCTTACCAAATGTCATCATTTCCTGCCTTTGAGAAGGGACTAGAAAGACTTGTGCTGAACCAATTCAGAGTATTTTAGGTAGGTCTTCAACTGAAACCTGGAAATCAAAGCAAAAGAGAAGAAAGATAAATAAATAAAAACAAAATCTGTGCGCTTCGGGAAACAAGTGGTTTGGAGGAAAAGCTAATTTTCAAAGGTCTCCATCGGCCCCGTGGCCACTCCCTTCTCTTCTAGGACCTTTCCGCCTCCCTTCATTTCAGCTTTGAGTTAGGAATACTGGAACTGATCACTTTTCAGCCTCAATAAGTCCTTGCTAATTATTTTAACATTTCAGGTTCAGGAAACCCAAGCCCAGTGTTTGTGAAGTGTGCTTTGCCTTGATTTGTATGTCCTCTTATATTTCAAGGGAAGTTGGGTCCATGTGTTTCTGATTCATTTCTACTTAACTCATCAAGACATTGTTCCATGAAGGCCATTTGATGTCCGAAGAGTCTGCTAAAACTTTTGTTCGTGAAACCATAAAGTCAGTGAAGTAATACGCAGTTTATAACAAAAGCACAGGATTAGGAGCCCCAAGAATTAGCTCTCCGGACCCCCATCCCTGACCTTTCATACCACCAGGAAGCCCTTATCTACATATCCGTGTAATCTGGGTAGAGATAACAATGTTTTATGCAAAGATGAGAGAATTTTATAATAAAATATAATTTTGGAGAGTCTTTTTTAAGAGTAAGGCATGTTATAAACCAACATCAAAATAGCTTTCGAGTTGAAAGAATGAGTTTTTGCCTGGTTTTGAGGCTGTTATAGTAGTTTTCCTGGCCAAGTAACATAACGCAAAATTAAAATTTCAAATGGTGATTAGATGAAACATGCCTCCACCTGAAAGCATAATCTTTACATGGATTTTACACTGTGGAAAGCGCACTATGTTTCCTACTGGTTTCCTTTTTGAGCTAACAATCATGTCACCAATCTGTTTAACAAGTTGCGGGAAGATAAGGGGTAGATATTTGCCATAGGGGGACCTTTCTGTTTCTCGTTCAAAGGCAGACATTCTCCTGAAATTTCACTTTGGAGCACAGATAGTGAAGCTAAAGTTACTCTAAATGGAGTAGTGACAAACTTAGCAGGTATCAACGATGAAGCACATTTTTGTTTCTTCATTTATTTCAACTTTCCACTGAGTTCATTATTGTGCTGTCTCTTGCTGGTCTGTGGGTTCTCAGGTGGCAACACTGATGGTTTACTGTGTCCCCAGAGGGCATGATAGGATTCAGGAATCAGTTTTGACTGGGGTCAACAGTAGAAGTCAAGGGAGTTCTCAATCACAATAACAACAAAATTACGGAAAACAGGTTCACGCAAACTAATAGCCATTCCTCTCAAGCTTTTTCATCTGCAGGGCACCTAGCAGAGAAGAGAGAGGCCATGGGGCTGATGGAGACCTTTGAAAATTAGGTTTTTCCCCAAACCATTTGTTCCAAGCTCACAAACTTTGTATTTATTTATTTTCTCTCAGTCACTCGATCTCCAAGCAGTGGCCTGGTATCAGGCACAGGGCCCAGTCAAATGTGTCGTAAGCACCACCCAGAACAGACTGAGACACACAGGCAGACGGTCAGCAGACATGTAGCCCCCGTTCTCAGGATCTGGAAAAGGAGTGGTTGGGCTGAGCACAGCCAGATCCACCCTGGCTGTGCTGCAGGAGAGGGACCCAGCCCCTCTTCTGTTCTTTTTATACAATTCTCCAGACAGCAGCCTTGTGATAAGGGGACAAAACAATCTAAGCTTCGTCACCAGCTGCCCAGAGGAAGTACATGCCAGTGCTGGGTATACCAGCTGCCTGGCCCAAATATTCCTCGGAGACCTTGTGGCCAGTGGAGACTGGCCACTGCCCCTCCTGCCGAGGTGACAAGTGGTAACTGATCCCAGCTGGCTCCTGCCAGCCAACCTAGAGAGATTCACTGGTCAAGCTTCTGGGTCTCTCCACAATTGGCAGCTGTTGAGACCCAGTAGGAGGGCACCCACTACCTGCCCAGGGCGCGGGATGAGGGAATCAGGAAAGATAAAACATCTGTATTTGAACCATGGCAAACAAACAACCACCACAAAAACCTAAGGGCTAGCCTTCTGGAGTTCACAGTCTAGGGAACAAGGTCAGAAAAAAGACAAGGATCATACAATATAGGAAATGATCTTACAGAGGTATGCATGCCTCCAGTGATATCACAAATAAGGTGGTCGCCAACCCTGATGGCAGGAGGGAGGGTTCTTGGGAGCCTTCCCAAGAAGTATGTGCTCGCGATGGGAAGGCAGTCCTGCAGGTCGGGCGAAGCGGGTAGCGGGCGGAGGGCACGACATGTAGGCAGGAACCTAATTACACAGAGCTAAAGAAAGCTGGGAGGAACTAGACCCTCCCCGACCCCATTTTACATTTTCTGGAAGAGTCCAACCATAAGAACCTAAAGTCCAACAGTATATAAGGGTTTCCCCCAGTTCCACAAACAACTAAGCAATGCCAGGTATGTTTCAAAAGCGAAGACTCTTTCAGGACCCTCTCAAGTCTCAAATGTCTGCTGTCACCTTCTCCTACCTGAGTGGCCTGCTTGATGCCCTCTTCCAGACTGGTTATTGAGCTGGGCAATATTACCTAAACTTCTTTTCTGACAGCCTTTGGCTGGGGGTTGTTTCCATCCACCTGGGGTACCCAAAGACCCCTGCACCTTATCCATCTGAAAAGGAGAGTGAATTTCCTTCTGGTCAGGCCAAAGAACACAGCTCCTGTAACAAAACTCAAAGCTCTGATAATAAGAGATTCCGTCCTTTTAAGTTTTGTTGTATCTAACTGTTCCTGCTTCAGAATCTCAGAGGCTTGACCAAGGTGGAGCATAGTGTCATCTCCAAGTCCCCATGTGTTCTGGGTCATGGGAAAGCTGATATGCTATCTCCGTTAAAGGCCTACATGGCTTGGCCCTGTAACTACGTTCCATTTGTATCCGGGGAGCCAGGGCACTCCAGTCCCCTACTAATCGGCTCCCAGAGGCACTTGGCAGCCCCGCTCCGTCCCCGTCACTCTTTCTCTACAGCCAGGCAGTGAATGAAATGACATTCTTGGTAGCTCTGAAGGGCTTTGAGTCCTGAAGTTCCAAATTCATAGCTCTTAAGCTGGCGTGAAACAGCCCTTGCTTTAGCTATTAGGGTGCACCTAGGAGAAATGGGAAACAAAATTTAGAAGCACATAAATAGATTTACTGCATGTAAATCTTAACATCTTGAAAAGCATAATGCACTTAAAGGGATGAATCTGGCTGAGATTGTAGAGATGATAATGTAGTGAGAGTGTGTATTTGTTATCTATTGCTGTATAGCAGCAAATCACCCCAAAACTTAGTGGTGTAAAATAATAATAATCACTTGTCTTTCAGGGTTCTGCGATTCAGGAATTTGGGAGTGGCTCAGCTGGGTGATTTGGGTCTCACGGGGTTACAGGAAGAGGGTGACTGGGCTGGGGGCCATTTTGAAGGGTTTTTCGCTAGCATGCCTGGTGCCGCAGCTGGGAAGACTCACACAGCTGGTGGCCAGCACCACAGGGGCTCCTCCAGATGGTGTCTCCACTTGCCCTCTGCATCATGGCAACTGTAGGGTATCTGGATTTCTTACAGGGCAGCTCAGGCTCCCCAAAGGCACATCTCCTAAGATACAGAGTCATTTGGAGGCCGTGTCGCTGTTCCCCACCCAGCCGCAGAAGTGTCCGAGGGCTTCTTCTTCCTCACCCTATTCAGCAGAATCGAGTCACTGAGTCCGGCCGGTGTTTAAGGGGAAGGTAAGTAAACGCCACCTTTTTAGTGTAGAAGTGTCAAAGAATTTGCAGATCTGTTTCAAAACAATCACAAAGGAAGTCAGGAAGAGGGGAGTGTCAACTGAAAATGACAGATAAATAGCAAAGGGTAAAGCTAATCATCATAATTTCCGTTGACATTTCCTTAAAATTTGTTCTCTAAAATCAAATTTAGACCTTCAAAAACTTCTTAATATGATTTTTACCTTTTATCTTTTACGTTTATGATTTTTCCCTTTTAGCTAGTTTCTAATTTTTGTTACATAATTATATTTTTTAATGACATCATTTTTCTTTTAAATTTAATTGATCACATTCTGTTTTGCACCTACTATATGCTAGGCATGTGCTAAACAATTGGGAGACAGAAGCAAATTTACACAGTCCATGCTTTCAAGGAGCTCACAGTCAAAATTACCATTCCATGTGACGACAGCAACATTAGGAGCATAAGTGAGGCACAGAGATGGAATAGAGGTGAGAAAGAAAACTGATAAAATCATACCATATATTTTTATTCTACTTCACAGACTTGCAAAATGAGGCTTTCCATTGCACCTGTTTCAAATGTGCCATAAACCATATTGTTAATATTAATTTGGAAAGTATATCCTAACGTAGAGCTTTACTGCTAAAGCCAGACAAAGATTTTCTGAGGATAAAACACAAAGACCTAAGCAGAGGATCCTCAACTAGGAGTAAATTATTGAGATGCCATTTGGTCCACTCCATGCCTCCGAGTAGATCTCAGCCCAGCCCAAATCTATGGAAATCTATCGTAACTTTTCAATACTGCAACAGGAACAGCTCTTACACTGTCTATGGTGAAAGACAGTTGCTACCCTGCAGGGGATCCCGATGTGCCATCAGGTCTGAAAACCCTGAGAGGAAGCACATGCAGAAAGGAGAGGGCACGGCACACACCTCAGGAGGATGCATTCAGAGGCTGGAGGACTAAGGAAAGTCACAGAGAAGACGAGAGACTGGTGGTCAGAGAGTCAGGAGAGTAGACACCAAAAGAAGAATGACAATTGTAAAATGTCACAACAGCCCGAGAGGGGAGACCTTTCCTAAGGAGAGGGGAGGCAACCTTGCAAATGAACTAGGTAGGTCAACAAGCGTGAAGGCTGAGATTGGCACAGCACGAGTCACAAGGCAGGACACTGACGATCTTCCCACGGCAGCGTCAGTCCAGTGGCGGAGAAGCACCTCAGGCGGCCCCAGATTACCCAGCACAGCACTACCAGACAGGTGGCCCCACGGCACCATCAGGCTTGCATCAAGCTCCTCAGTGCCACTCAGCAACTACTCATTGGAGAATCGACTGTGTATCTGGCCATGTTAAATGGACCCATGCTCCCCACCAACAGATTAAATTCCTTAGCCCAGTATTCACTGTTTTCCAACCTCACTTAGCCTGATTTATCAACTACTATGCCCTCACATGAACACTTTATTTTGTCCAAATATGATTATGCTAAAAAAAACTCACGCTTAAGTTTTTATTTCTCTCTTGCTGCCAGGGAAGAAGTCCAAAGAAACTAATTCAAAGATTCATTATTGGTAGGGATGCGTTATAGGAAAAGAGGATGTTTAGATAAAAATTTTAGACAGAAATCAAGAAAAAATAATGTCTGGTTAAAGAACCTCAGCTGAGAGGCTGAGGAGCTGATTTCCCAGAAGGGCTCTGAATCGCATTAAAGTGTATCAGAATTGCTTAAGCATTTATCAGGAATGCTGATTTCTCTCCAGAAGAAAGTTGCTTGTGAACTGTCTCACAAAACACACATTTTATCCCAGACCAAGTTTGGGGCATCTATTCACGCTTCCTCGAACACTTCATGCTTCCTCAACATCACAACATGTCTTGTGTCTGCAAGACCATCCCAGCCCAGTCCCTGCCACTTGCCTCTGCTTCGGGCCGAGGTCCATGCCATCTCCTCCTAATGATGCTTTCTTTCTACTCCAAACCACAGGTCTTTTATTGTACCACTCTTACTTTTTATGTTTGTCGTTTGTATTCATATCTCCTACTTTAACTATAAGAAATTGTATCTTTTCCTCTGTATATACTCATTAATATTCAATAAACATTGGAATAGTGTATACATAACTAAATCCATGATATATGAGATGTTTTGTAATGCAGTCTTCAATATATTGTACTTCGAGGAAATATTTCACAATCTAAATTAATTATTGCATTACTCAAATTAGATTCAGTGGTGAATAATTTAAAACTCCAAACAGCAGTGCTTTCAACAAGAGAGAAGTTAATTTCTCTCTCTCTCTCTCTCACGGCAATCTGGAGGTCAGCAGTCCGGAACCGGTGTGGTGATTCCATGGTCCTATCCTGTTGTTCCATTATCCTCCTGGGTGTGGCTTCTTCCTCCTGGTTCAAGGTGGATGCTTGATATTTAGCCCTCACATCCTTATTCCTGCCAGCAGGAAGGTGGAAGGAGAGAATGGCATGCCCCTTCTTTGTAAGGACGCATTTCAGAAATTGCACACAAAATTGTCAGAGTTGTTAATGGGCTGATACACCAGCGCACATCTGATTATCCCCCATTTGCTATAACTTAGTTACATACGGCACCGATGTTAGAGGAAACTGAGGAATGTGCACAATTTAAAAATCAGGGATTCTACTCCTAAGGAGGAAGAAAGAATAAATACTAAGGGAGAGCTAGAAGTCTCTTTTTCTGTAGCTCTTTCTACACCAGACCTCACTGGTCAGGAAATTCTTATTTTAATGTAATTTGTTTTTCCACATTCTAGTATATTTATTCCTCTTGGGTTCTCAGTAAATACTAAGAGACTCCATTTTTTTAATATAGCAAGCTCAATTCCAAGCTCTAAGAGAATATATATATATGCATATAATAAAAATTATATGCCTATAGTATACATATACATAATAAAAATTACGTGCAATTATAAAGCATAAAAATATGTTAGGGACTACTTTTATATAAAACATCACGGTTCCCAACTTCTTTGATCATGTACTACAATCAATAAATTTTAAACCTCCCCAATATACTTACATTTATCTATTAATGTATTTTATAAATGTATTACCATATTAAGGACATTATAAAACATGCAGGAAAGTTAAAATTGAAGAGATAAGAAATGAATATAAATAAAAGTTCTAATATTTTCTTCCTTTACACCAATGGACTTTCTCAGGCAAAGCCCAGTCTAACAGATGCTAATGTCTTGACTTCTGCTCTTCAGCTATTGCATACATCATCAGTTCAATCAAGAATCCAGCCAAAACCGAACAGAGGAGACTGGGACAAAATGCTAACAAGATAAGTTGTTATATTGTTATGTGCCACATGGAAAAGAAATAACAATGGTTGAAACTCCCACATTTTGGGTCTGACAAACAAATTAAGCGTCTCGACAAAATGTCTGCATTGAAAAACCCATTTGGGCTTTTTCACACAGCATAGTTGAATTTGTTAAAGAGCTCAATGTCTTCTTGTTTATGAAGCTTTAATTTTACTACTATTGGGTTACTCAGATGGAATAAACAAGGAGCACCGCTGTTCTGCTCATTGTGGTCATGAGTTACAGGGCCCCGGAGGAGCACGCTGAGGTACTTTGCGCTTGGAGTCTTGATTTCAGTGTGCTGTGTGTGTGCTCTGCATGCTTCTATACCATGTGGGTGTAGACTTTAGAGCTTTGCAAACGAAGCTATAGCTGAAGTTGCCGGACCAGTCATGCTACATTTCCCCAAGGGCAAAACCCCAAACTGACAGCTCTCACTTTGTGTTACAGAATAGAACTGAGTGGTCAGGACCAAGGAGACCTCTGCCACACAGCTACTCGCAGATGTCAATTACTCAGCCTAATTACTTGACAAAATATACTATTCATTTAAATCTTTCATTTTCTTGAACCATAAAAGCAACAGGGACTGCAGGAAAAAGTGATCGTGCCATCTTGGAATTGCTAATATCTGAGACGTGGACTTTTGATCAGAGTCAGGCATGCACCCAATGCTTTAAGAATAAAAAAATTTGAAAAGCAGTTTAGAGAAAGTTCAAATGTGGCTTTACGAAGAAAGACTCTGAAAGAGAACATAGTTTAAGAGATGGGGGCTCTAAAAATGAAATTCTGACCACAGTATGATGAATAAAGGAGAGATAAAGACGTCAGTAAGACTGCCCAGAAACTCTCTGGTGAGTTTAGATTTTGAAAAAATACATATGAAAAGGCAAGTAAGGTCATATAACCAAGGACACAAATTGTGAAATGTATAAGAAAATTGTCAGAATCGTAATGCGCTGATAAGCCAAAGCTTACAAAAGTGACGAAGGCAATAAAACCTATCATTTCAGCTCTGTTTAGATCACAGACGTGAACAAGAAAGTAAAATGTACAATACTGGAGATGACAGTATAATGCTGGCGGATGAGAGAAGCATTTCAATCAAGGAAAATTACCTTCAAAACTTAAAAAGTCCAGCATGGGTTAAAAGGGTACACGAATTTCCAGAAAGAACGGGCTACTTGAATGAATCCTACCCTCCGTTTCCAGAGGACCTGTGCCCCAGGATTCTAAGGGGCCTCGGAGGCATGATTGTGAGGTGACTTGGGGTAGTCATGGAATCAACGGACCCTGACATAAGTCAGGAGACTGGAACAAAACAGACACATTCTGGATTTTCAGAAGTGAAAATACAGGCAATACGGGGTTTGGAAGCAGGTTCTAGAAACAGTAAATAAGTAGACTTGATGTTGTTATCTCGCAAAATTCCAGAAAGGATGATTAAACAGGCAGTCCGTTGACCTTACAAATAAAATGTTGATCATAGTGTGTATTCACTATTCACTAGGGTCTAGTGTGTGTTCGTAATAAAAATCCACTCCAAGTGGGCTTCATTTCCTCTTTAGTAACGTAAATAGACGATCAGGTAGTGGACACATAACCATAAACATGGCACAGAGGAACTCCTCTAAGACAGGCTCTTTAAAGACCAAAGTGAGAAGCAGCCTTGAAAGGTATGCCACAAGGGGCTTTTCCTTTTAAAACATAATTTCTTTTCTACTTATATAAGAAATATCTTTTTAAGGCACATGGACAGTCTTTCCTTGATTCCAAGATGCAATTCCTTGTGAGATAAGGCATCAATGTAAAAACAGCTTTTTGAGTAGAGAAAGGAATTATATTGTGTGATTCATCTTAGTTTAAGAAGCAGTAAAACATAAAAACATGTACCTTCAAACGGAGGAAGTACACACACACACGCGCACACACACACACACACATATTTACCAGATTGAAATCACATATTTCATTTAATTGGCATTTGATTATAATCTTTGACTCCATGTCATTAAAGACTCCACAAACATAACTTCTGGTGAGTCAGTAGCACATTATAATTTATTTAATTACTACTCTATTATTCTGAATTTTTAAATTCTTTTTTACAAATAATTTTGTAATTTATTGTTCAGAAATATTTACCTGCATTTCTGATTATTTCCTTAGGGTACATTTCCAGAAGTGGAATTATTGAGTGAAAAGGTGTTGGGAAGATTCCTGCTACAGAGCAGCAACCAGAGCTCAGAGAGATACACCAATGTGCTCTCCCGCCTGCAGCAGTGAGAGAAGGGCTCGTCTTACCACCGTCAAAATGATCTTGCCTTTTCAGATTCTGAATTGATTTGGTAGGGAAAAACAAGCAAACAAATCTCAAATTTTCTTTTAATGTGGTTTGAATTTCGTTGACGGAAGTGACAAAAGTATGGAATATTTTTCCACACAAATATTACTATTTGTGTTTCTTCTGTGAATTTTTGTCTGTTCTTGCCTTTTATTCATTTTCCTAGTGAAAATTTATTATTTTCCTTGTCAATTATTATGTGGTCTTTATATATCAAGTATTAACCATTTTCTGCTCTATCATTTTTTTGTGTTTGTATTAAACGTTTGTGTCATTTTGTTTTAAATCTGTCTATTCTTTTCTTTATCTTTTTTTAAGCTCATCCTAAAGAATGTACGCTTTTTCATTGGAAAGTTTACAGAATCCACTTCAATTGTTGTGTCTGATCTCTGACCTCACCTCGAGCGTTTGGTTTACCTCTTTTGTTTGGGCTAATGTCTGTTTATTTTGTGTGTGCCTGTGCTTTGCTGTACGACTGGTGTTTTGATTGCTTTTATCTTCCACAGTGATTTGGAACACAGACATCCTATTTTTTTATTTTACTTGTGATTGCTGCTAAGTTTTTCAAATCATGTATCAACCTATATTTCACAAAATATCAAGTTCGTGAATGAAACAAACCTTTGATTCTCATTATGTGACCTTAGGAATTTGGTGTGTTTGGACTCTCCCCATCCCTTCCTCCATTCATTGTCTGGCCTTTATTGATATAATCTGGGATTATTCTAGATCATAGATCAAAAATCTAGATCATTACTACTAAATTATTACTTATCCATTTTATAACTTTTAAAATAATTTTTATATTTTCTTTCAAAGGAATTATTTTATTTCTGCATTCAATTTTATACAAATGTAACACTAATTATTTTTACTTAAATGTATGTTTATTTGGTTTCATTGCTCAAACTCACCAGCAGTCCTTTTATGTTAGAACTTTGGTATTTCTGGGTCCTTGATATTTTATGTGATTCTCAGGCAGCTGGATTTTGAAAGGCCAGAACAATAGATTGACCAGATGAAACTTATCAATAAAGATGGAAAAAGTAAGGCTGGAGAAGTCCTTGTTTAGCAACAATTGTAATGAAAAAGACTAGATTTGAGTTGCGATAATCTCAATATGAACAAATCACGTAATGTGACGGTTAAAAAAGCTGATGAAAATACAATGGTCATGATAATAAGCATACATCATAGGACAAAATGGTAGTGATTCCACTTTACTAGGTCCTAGCCAGACAGTCTTTGGCTGGAATACTCATTTCAGTTCTGAGACGTCTTAACATTTAAAATCTAGGAAGCATCTGGAAGGTCAGCCAGGAGAAAAGTCTGAAAATCATGTCATATAAAGGTTAACTGAGGGAACTGGGTTTAAACCAGGAAAAATGAGATTTAGGAGCTATGTAGTATTCATGTATTCAAAGGGCTATAATAGATTATAAAGACTCATTGCTTCTGGAGTCAGATGTAGGAGAATGAGTGAAGTTTCAGAGGGAGAAGATTTTGACACAATGGGAGGAAATTTCTAGAAGTTAGAGCCATCGAACATTGGCATGTGCTGCCTCACACACTACCCTGCTTCCCATCCCTTCAGAGAGTGGATGGCATGCGTTGGAGATGGTACATGACCTATACGATATGGGCCAGGAAACGGTTAACGTACTTGGGAACCTGCATTACTGTGTGTGCCAGCTTCCTCCTTCCTGCTACACAATCTCCACCCACCCCCACTCCCAACACCTCTGCTAAAGAGAGCTCAGCTTTCACCGGCTCTTTGTCTCCCTTCCTTGGTCTTTAAGGAGAGTTCTGCTTTCATGGGGCAAGTCCCTGGGCTTGTTGTATAGCGATATGAGGTCTGGAGAGGTGGAAGGAAAGCGGGAAACACTGTTGCTTGCTGGCTCAGTTTCCAGAATCATTGGTTATTGAGAATATAGGAAAAGGGTGATTAATATTAGCAGAAGGGTTGCTGGACACTTTAAAAAGATTAAAAGGATGAAATGCTGTGGGAAAAGAGAGAGAAAACCAAGCCTTCTCTCTGAATGTTTGCAGGGTTTGGAGCGTGAGAGGTTCTGAACATCTGCATGAGCTGGGAGAGCAGGAGGCAAGAGGAAAGGGGACAGGAGCAAGTTCAGAAGGAGGCCAAGGCTACTGTCCTGAAATGAAGAAGTATGTTCCCTGCCTAGACTGGCTTGGGACAAGAATCTCTCGGAACAAACAAAAGAGCATGAGCAGAGCCTAGAAGAGTTTCTGGACCCCACTGACGTGAACAAAAGTCACAAGACTCTTAGTGATGAGGAACCGGAGTTTTATCAGATCCCCTCTCCCACTTTAAATATTATGCAAATGTTTATATATATTGATGCTAGTATTAAGCATGTGGTAAACTGTCTAGGGTTGTCATTCCATAATGTGGATTCACTCATTCCCTATTAACCATTCTCTGCTTTCATAAAGCCAAACTATGAACTCCTCATGTGTGTGTGTTTATTATCCTTATTACAACAAAAATTTTGTTGCCCAAAGAGGGCAAAAAGGAGAAAGCAACACGCCTTCCAAAGGCTCTTGTTAGTCTCACGATGGTTGCTTTTATGTGTCAACTTGGCAGGGGCGTTATGCCCAGATATGTGGTCGAACACTATTCTGGATGCTTCTTTGAGGGTGTTCTTGGATGGGATTAACAGTCAAATTAGTGGACTTCAAGTAAGGCAGATTGCCCTCCATACTTGCGGTGCACCTCGTCTAATCAGTTGAAGGCCTGAGTAGAACAACAGACGGACCTCCCTGGAGCAGGAGGGGGTTCTGCAGCAGATGGCCTTCAGACTTGAACTGCAACAGCGGGTCATCTTGGGTCTCCAGCCTGCCAGCCCGCCCTGCAGATTTTGAACTTTCCAGCCTCCATAATCACATGAGCCAATTCTTTAAAACAAATCTCTTTATAAATACATAAACATCCTATTGGTTCTGTCCCTCTGGAGAACCTAGACGAATACAGATGTGCTATACATTGTGGGTATAAAAAGACACTGCATTTGAAAGATCACACTACACAAACCCAAAACTCTTGTCCCACTCTAAGGTTTTACGTGCTTCTACCAGGCTACAGATTCCATACAGAATTATACTATAGTGTTTAACATACATAGTGTTTTATGGGCAGTGTTGTAACTCATCAAAACTTCCAAAATATCTCAATCTATTTACAAATTTTGCAATTAGGTAAAAATATGCAGGAAAGTATTGTTTAATTATGTGATGATAATCAAAACATATATGTGTATTGGCAGAAAGTGTTAGTAAATTCTTAGGAAAAATTAAAAGTCTAGCCGCATATAATAGATTACTCATAGTCCTGTGCAGACCTTTCACTAAAAAAACACCCATCTAAAATGGATTATTCATCATCAAATGCTACAGTGAGAATTCTTCTGGAAGAAGCATTTTGTAGGTTTTTCAGAACGTAGAGAGGAACACTTAGGTCTGAAGCTTTGTACTTGAAATTATATGAGATTTTAAGACTTAGATCTGATCATAATCTTTTCCAAGAAAAATTATCTTTCAGTTTCTTCCAAGTTAAAAGAGTAATAGAGTGCCATTCCATGAAAAGCACGATGACACCACATAAATTGGGGATAATATATTACAATCAAGTTTGTATTTGGATGAAATTGCCAAAATAAAGAGTGGAGAAGAACAAATGACTGTGATGAGCCGTAATGCATATGAAAGGGCCTTGGGTGACTGCTTACACATGCCAGAAAGTTAATAAACAGTAGAGTCCTTTCTTGCTGCTCAACTTTTCATATTTCCAAGTAAATCCAATTTCAAATCCAGTATATCACCAAGAGATATATAAAATTTCAATTTCCTATAGCTTTAATAGATTTGTTCTTAACACTTCCAGTGATAACCCCAGCTGACTGAGATTTCCACATAGTGGGAAGTTGGCTAAGTGGCCTGAAAGATCCCAGCCAACTCTGATATTATGGGCTCTCTTCCAGGAGTCTGCAATTGGCTGGTGGAAGGATGGAGCAGCCCACTCACGTTCTTGACAGTATTTTCTTTTGATTCTAATGTATTTTGTATTGCAGACCTGTAGGGTAGTATCTGGTTGAGGCATTAAGACCTTTAATTCCCTGTGGAAATCATAATCCTCCATCTTTTGTCCTAGAGTTCACAGTGTGGCAGATTGCCCAAGGATATGGGGCAGCCAGCAAAGTCATGATGTTTGAAAAGAAAGAGGACGGAGTAGTGTTCAGTTAGTGCACCTGGTGATCTGCTATCTGTTCTCTCTGGTAGGGATCCAGAGGGCAAGGTCTGTGCCCACTGTAATTGTTAGTAAGTCCACAATTTAGACCTAGAGCCTTTGGGTGCTTAATAAACGCTATCAGGCAATTAGAGTGATGACGACGGGTAACTGTCTCTGATGTTGTTACCACTCGCTAAAGAATTAAATTACTTTTATACTTTCAGTAATTATCTCCTGTGCCAAATTGTTCCCATATGGACCCAAACATTGCAATCTTAGGCTGGATTCACACCATAACAGTGATTACTTAATTATCCTACCATGAGCAGAACCCAGTTTTCAAAAGAAACAACTTTCCCAAGTCATTAGACAAATGTTTGGTCCACTATAGTATTATTACCCAGTAAGTTGAGGATAGAGGTAGGAG